ATGCTGATCCTCCTGCCTCCATCCCCCAAGTGCACCTCCATGCGGGTGTGATGCAGTGCTAGGTAGGGATCTAAGCCAGGGCTTTGTGGATGCTAAGCAAGCCCTCTCCCCAGTGAGCTGCCTCCCAGCCTCTCATTTGTTGTTATTTCAGAGTCCTGAGTTTACACTTGTTGATGTGTTTCTGCTGTGGCTGCTGTTATCTTTCTTAGCTACCCCATCTGTCACAGTGAGAGGCCTCTTCAAGTCGGCTTCTGGGTCCTCTCTGTCTAATTCTATCTAGTTTGTGTGGTGTCCTAGCATTCTGGAACGACAAGATGTTCTAAGCTTGCCTTGTGCATTTACATGAAGAAATGGAACCAGCCATTTCTTCAAGAAGCTTTGGTTCTTTTCAGTGGAAAATACCTAGGGTCTTTTAAGAAATGCGCACAAATAGCCAAAAATCATCAACTTGAGGAAAGCCTTAAAATAAAGGGGAAGACCAAAATAAACATGAAACGACACAAGCTGCAAGCAGCAGAGAATATACAAGAAACAGGAAGCGTTTTAAATCCAATTACAAACTAATTTCTATCTCCTTACATATGAAAATGTTTTTATAAAGCAATAAGTTGAAAGTATGACAGCTAGCCTTACAATTAGGAAAATAAGAATCGAAGGATTCAAAGATAAAAGTTGAAGACAAGTCTACCAAAATCAGAACAGTAGGATCAAGGAGTGAAAACTAGGGAATGCCAGAAAGCTAGAGACTGTACCAAGGCAGGTGGGTCAACCATGGGTTGGGTTAATACACTTTCCAAAATAAAGACAGGGAAGGCTGAGGAAGAAAGGGAAAAGAAAAAAGAAAAAAAAATTGCTAAGACCAAGGCCAAGTCTTCAAGTCAAAAGTAACCCAAACTTACATCAAATTAAAAGCCCTGTTTTTAGGGGGGGAGGCGGGGAGCATAAAGCTTCCAGAGTGTTAGCATTCAGACCTGCCCCTCAGGGACCCGGCCAATGAGCAGGCAATACCTTGGTGGGCCCAGTGTCCTGACGACGTCAGTCATCTTATATAAAGTCCTCTTTAAGAGAAACCCCCACCCTTCCCTTCCTCTCTTGCCACAAGGTAGAGCGCACCTCTTCTCTTCCTCTCTTCCCTTTTCTCTTTCCCTTCTTTCCGCTTTCCCTCTCTTCCCTTCTCCCTTCCCCCCAATAAAACTTTCCACGTGAGTGCTATCGTATGGTGTGAGTACGTGCCCCTTGGCCCCAACCCGCCAAGGCTGCCTCCACGCTGGTTTTAAAATAAAACACACAGTCTAAAGAAAACAGAATGGCATTCTTCTGACAGATGAGGAGGAAGAATTACACCAGATTCTTCAGGTGATCCCAGAATTGAGAAGACGATGGATAAATGTTTATAAAACTGGGTGGGGGCTATAGTCACTTAGAATTCTGCATGAAAACCATCAGTATGAAGAAAGAATCAATCAGACACAAGTGAACTCTAAAAACTGATCCACAACGTTCCTTCTTAGGAAGATACTAGAGTTGTATGCCACCACAGTAAGCAAGTGAATCAAGAACCAAGGCAACTTGGCTTCGGGAAGCAGAAGAGAGGCAAGGCCCTGGTTTTAGCCAGCAGGAGGCCTCACAAGCAATGGGTTTACTGGGAGGTTGGGATATGAAGATGAGGAAGGAAACTAATAGATTATCAGAATCACTTGTGCACACAGAAATGATTTGGAAAGGCATTTCTTTTGGAACATTTGAGAAAAATCAATGGAGAAGGTTGTTTGAGAAAGGAAGCCGTCTCTGATTATGAGTATTTGATTGACGTTCAGATAACCATTTTCACAGTTTAATGAGTCTGAAGTCAGGGGTGTCTCCCAATGGACAGCATCTTGAAGTCATGCTAGCCACAGTTACACTTCGGTCCTGATGTGGTTGTTGTAGCCTGAGCAGGTGTCATTATTCATGCCGTCTGACTGGTCAGCAGCAGTCCCTTTGGCACGACAGTCATTGGAAGAGCCTACAAGAAAGACGAATCTGGATGGGTCAGAGACCTGTGGAGGACACCTCTGGTGAGATCAAGAGAGGATTGCATCCAGACTTGCAGACCAGTCAGTGGCTCAGAAGCAAGTCCTGAAGATCAGGATGAAGCGCTCTGAGAATCCCTGCCTTGCTGACACCTGGGTGGTTCGACGAATGTTGTTCTAGATAAAAGAAAAGCAACAATATGAAAAGTGACAGTTCCAAATAGAAAGGAATTCAGAAGAGGCGTGCACTGAATGTAAGAGGGTTAAAGACACTTAGATTTACTGAAGTTTCCTTCTTTTTTAATGTGCAAGATCAATATGTGATAGAAACGCATCTCAATAAGAGCACTTCCAATAAGTTTACATTAAAATTTTAGGCGATGAAAGTGTTGACTGGCAGCACATTTTCTTTCAACGTGATTTGAGTCCCCATCAGTGGCTTACCGTCAGGGAACGCTGAGGCACTAGCTGGTTGGAGGGAAGAGTTTTTATGTATTTACAATCATGTGAATACCAATATTGGATCTTAGTTAAAATATGAATTGTTGAGGAAGGACAGATACGAGGGAGTTATAGGTGTGCTCTGGGCTGGAGTAAAAATGGAGACAGACAAGCGGGAGAGCCTTTTCCTGTTTAAAGCTGAGTGTGAGATGGATTTACATATTTAGGACTTTTAGGTTGTGTGTGTGTGTGTGTGTGTGTGTGTGTGTGTGTGTGTGTGTGTGTGTACACATGTGTACAGGTGCTCAGGGAGGCCAAAAGAGGCTACCAAATCCCCTTCAGCTGCATTTACAGGTGAATGTGAGCCGCTCAACGTGGGTGCTGGGAACCGAACCCCATCCTCTGTAAGAGCAGCAAATGCTGACCGCTGAGCAGTCTCTCCAGCCTTGGGGTGTAGGTTTTTAACAGCTGCAGCCGGGACGTGGTTGCTGTGGGGCAAAGCCGCTGCGGGATGGAAGGAGTGGTTTCTAGGGGAGATGTTAATAATGTCTTATGTTTTTAAAAATTGCACATCGTTACGTTGATAAAAAATAATTTTCAAATAAAAACGACTCTGAAAAGCCCTTTCTGTGCCGTTTCCGTTTTATAAACACACATGTCCTTGTTGGGCCATATGGTCTAACTTTTGTTTCATGGAATCTGCTGACTGTGATGGGAGGCAGAAGGCTCCTGGGTGCCTGGATCGGTGGTCTGCTTTGCGGCTTGTTCCTCACCAGCTTTGTGACCTTGATCGGATAGTTCAACCCCACTGGCTTTAGTTTTCTCCCTTACACTGAAGGGTCAAAGAGAGAACGCCAAGTCCCTGGCATGTGTCTGTGCCATTGATGAGTTCCGTACGACCTTAACTTCCCCCTTAAGAACAAGCTGGCCCCTTCAATGTGTCCCATGCAGGAACCCCAAGGCTCTATGCAGTTTTCCATTGTCTACCTATTGTCTGTGTTTCAGTGTGTGTGTGGGGGAGGGAGTCATTGACCCTTCCTGCCCCCAGAAACCCCAAGAACTCTTACCTATCTTCTTCTCTTTTGTGGGGCTTAACCTGGGACCTGATGGGTCCTTAGGGTAACAATGCTTTATCATTTCTGTCCAGATGAACCCTGACCCTAAAGGTCATCTGCCCTTCTTTAAAGCTGAGAAGCAGACCTAGAGGGGCAGACCCAGCATGCTTAGTGGAACCTGGGTGCAGGTTCTGGTGGTGGGGGCGGGGGTCAGCCTCTCTGTGCTCTAAGCAGCCATGCTTCTTTAGAGGCGACGGGGCGGGGCGGTCTGGAAGGCAAGGATCAGCCCTGGGGCTCCCTCTTTGTTCCCAGCTTCCCATTGTCTAGCGAAGCAACTTTGTGAGGAATTGGAGCTGAGTGTATGTGAGGAGGAGGAGGAGGAGGAGGAGGAGGAGGAGAAGGAGAGAGAGAGAGAGAGAGAGAGAGAGAGAGAGAGAGAGAGAGAGATCTGCTTACTCAGGCCTTTTAGGACAGGTTGTGTGGTTCATGTTTATACATCAGCGCTGTTGGCAGTTGCTTGTGTGAGAAGTATCACCTTTCAGTGCTCTTCAGAGATGGGGAGAGAATAAAGGGGGCGGGGGGGGGGGTCCTGGGTGGAGACAGCCCTCTCCTAGTGCTCTGAGCATGAGAAAGCTGTGTCTCCAGCCCCTAAGCCCACGGCAGTGTGAATGATGCCAGAGTGAAGGAGGGAAGTGGACAAAAGCTTGGTTTCCATTCCCAGCGCTCTATAAAGTGGGAAGCATGGAGATGCCTGTGACCCCAGAACTCAGAAATCAGAGGCTGGGGGATCGGAGTTCAAGGTCCTCCTCAGCTTGTGTTTGCAAAGAGCAAACAAAATGGCAGAAGGGAACGGGAGACTTCACGAGAGGAGTAACTGAGGCGAGCGGAAGTCATCATTTCCTGGAGCCAGCAGGGCAGAGGGCACAAACACACATAGCCTATGAAGACTCTTACCCATGGCCTACCACGTATCTTCAATTGTCACCAAGAACTCGGTGTCTACAGAGCTTGAGGGGGAAACATAACATGTCGCAGGGCTTTAGTGGGACAATTACAGCTCCTGTTTCTAAGAGTTCCAAAGTCTAACCTTCGGAAAGAGACCCAGGCTAGCCTCCCATTCCTTTGAGGGACTTCTGGATGGCACATTTCCTGTCCCCCACCAAGACCTAGGTGGTACTGAAAACCCTTCTTGGTCCCTTGAAGCTTCAGAGCTGTCCCGGGGAGAGGCTCCCAGAAAGCTGTGAGGGGCTAATGGAGCCCATGAAGTTGAAAGCAGGTCCCTAGGTGTCCCCATTCCAATCAAAGGAGAGAAAGTGTTTGGACGGGGGACCACTCTCTAGTAAAAGACCTCAGGGTGAGAGTCTCTGACAGCCCCCCCCCCAAAAAAAATACCTCAGATGCTTGGAGAGAAAGCCCTAACCTTCAGGCTGCCATCTACCCTAATGAGCAGTGTCCAGGAGCACACCAGATCATATCCCCGTTCCTTCCGCAGGCTACAGAGTGGGCCTCCAGTGAGGACACACGTCGCTCCTGCCAGAGCAAAGGGAAGACGGAGGTACGTGCCGGAGGCAGCAGGGGCTCTTCTGGAAGCTTATGGTCAGATGTTGGGGGTCCTTGTGAGCATGGGGTCGCTTGCCCCAGAAGCCTGACTGGGACGAGGGTGAAGGGAGACAATGGATTCCCACAGACACAAGCTGGAACATCTCAGAGCAGTGTGGATCCAGGGCAGGGGCGTGGAAGGACATTCCTTGGCATCAATGATGCAGCTGTATGAAGTAACCATGCCCAGAATTACACAGGCAGAGCTGTGGCCCTCCATTGCTTTTCCTTCCCACCTCAGGAGGAGTGTCAGAACTACGTGCGAGTCCTGATTGTTTCCGGTCGGAAGGTGTTCATGTGCGGCACCAATGCCTTTTCCCCAGTGTGCTCCAGCAGACAGGTGGGCCTGTTGGGAATGGCAGGCAAAGCGGGGTTTCAGGGGATGGTGTCTTACCCGGACACACAGGCTTGGAGTGGGGGACTGAAAAATGTAGCAGGGTGGGTGGAGAATGTATGTCCATGAAATATTAGGACAAACGTAAAAAAAAAAAATCTTCATCTGAAATTCAAATGGAACCTCTCTTTAGTATTTTCTTCGTTAGTCTTATTTGAAACAGCCATCTGGTGTCCAGTGGACACTCGTGAAGGACCTCACCCTTTGTAATGGCTATGAGATCACAGAGTGGACGTGATGAGGGTACTTGAGACATGGGAGGGCGGGGAGAGGGAGGGAACAAAAACCAAGGGTCCCAGAGGAGACAGCTCTAAGGTGGAAACAACAGATGTTCTCAGGACCCCATGGTAAAGCTCTCCTCTCCCACTGTCTCCAGGTGGAGAACCTCAGCCGGACTATCGAGAAGATCAATGGCGTGGCCCGATGCCCCTATGACCCACGACACAACTCTACGGCCGTCATCTCCTCCCAGGGGGAGCTCTATGCCGCTACTGTCATTGACTTCTCAGGTCGGGACCCAGCCATCTACCGCAGCCTGGGCAATGGGCCCCCGCTTCGCACGGCCCAGTATAACTCCAAATGGCTCAATGGTAAGGTGGCCCAGGCCTGGGGCGGCTCTGTCCTGCCTTCGAAACTCCATGGGCCTTTCCCGTCTCAGTTACTTCATCAATAAAGCAGATGGGGCAGGGGAGGTGTCTCCCCAAAGACCAAGGCACACTGGAGCTGAGCCCCAGATGTCCCGAGGACCCAGAGCAGACAAAGGGCAGGCTATTAGGGGAGAGAGTTAGAAACTGAATAGAGAAGGACTTAAGGGAAGGAAGAAATTAGGAAGGAAATGAGGAGACAGTACTTCCTGTCCCTTGAGGTTGAATACATTTCTTTACTAACTAGCTGTACGGCCTTGAGCAAGGACCAACCTGCTCTCTGCTGTGATGTTCTCATCTGTAACGGACAGGAGTCCTAGGACTTGCCTTCTATACCGTAGCAAGGATTAAATGGAGGAACCAATGAAGTCCTTATGATAGAGTATTTTATCCCATGAAGTAACACTGTTAACGAGAGCTTCACTTTACGTGGAAGTGGGACCAGGCTTCCTTGGAGCCCCTAGGTCAGCAAGGAAGGATTCAAGATGCCCACCCGAGAATACTGCCACAGTCCAGTCCTTCCTACTCCGCCTTCTTCTTTCCATCCCCACAGAGCCAAATTTTGTGGCATCCTTCGACATTGGGCTGTTTGTGTATTTCTTCCTCCGGGAGAATGCAGTGGAGCATGACTGTGGACGCACTGTGTACTCTCGGGTGGCTCGAGTGTGCAAGAATGATGTGGGGGGCCGTTTCCTGCTGGAGGACACATGGACCACGTTCATGAAGGCCCGGCTCAACTGCTCCCGCCCAGGAGAGGTCCCCTTCTACTATAACGAGCTACAGAGTGCCTTCCACCTGCCCGAGCAGGACCTCATCTATGGCGTCTTCACCACCAACGTGTGAGTCCCCCCACTCTAGTGCCCAGCTCCCCTATCATTCCAGGGCTTGCCCTGCCTAGCCTGGCAGCCTGGTGGGCTCAGCAGACCCTTTCTCAGAGTCTGGTGTCTGCTTCCACAAAGCAGAGGTCTCCTGGCTCCCGCAGCTGGTCGTTTGTGGCTTACCACTTCTGGAGGGGTAAGGACCTGCTCTGAGTTGCTGGGAAGGGCAGGCCCAGGCCAGATGTGCAGAGAGGGGTGGGGAGCTGCCTGATGGCTCTTAGAGGGAGAGCGTGCTGGTGAGGACAGTGATGAAGCCTGCATGGGGTGAATGGGCGGCAGCCCCGGGCACCGTTTCTCTATGGCCCCTTCTCACCTACGTGCAGCAGCATTCCAAGAATCCTGCTGCCTCCTCCCTCCTGGCTACCCCAGAACCTGCAGCAAGCTGGCATCTGGCACCCCTGTTGTTTCCTCGGATGTGAGGAAAGGCAACCGTTCCAGGGATGTCAGACTCTCCTCTCCTGCTCCTCCGTGTGGAGGCTAACAAATCAAGTGATCTTCAGGTTAAGAGTGGTGAACGGGCCCCACTGAGACTGAGGAAGGCCTTTGCAGCGGGGGATGCTGTGCAGGGTTTTTTGTAAGGACATCAGGAGCTTGGTGAGCCACAGAGTGATGCCAGGTAGCAGGCGCTGGATGCCCCAAGTTGTCTACAGAAAGGACAGTCTGAGGCAGCGGGAGGGGACGTGGGTAAGACTGGCAAGCAGCAGCAGAGAGGCCATCCTGGCCAGGGGACAGATATTCAGCACAGCTCACACCAGCCATGAACTGAAAAGCTGCTGACCATGACTAAGTATGGCTGGCTCACGGTGTAGGAAAGTGAGTGACTGTGAGCAGAGAGCAAAAAGAGCTGGAGAGATATCAAGGAAAAATAAATGGTTTATTGTAGAACCCCTCCATGCCAGGTGCCTGTCCTGTGGTAGGGGCGGGGGGGGGGGTGGACAGCAGTGAGCAAAAGCAGCCATGGCAATGCCATGAAGGGGGTGACAGTCTAGAGTGGGCAAGGCTATTTTGAGCAACCCATTTTAACCTTGCTAATTCCTACAGAGGGAGAAAGTGGGGTCCAGGGTGGAGATCACAGGAGGCTTCCTATGGGAAGTGAAATTCCTGGGATCTGAAGGGCATTCCAGCCCCCATGCCATAAATTGTGCGAAGCTTTGGGTGGATGGGGAAAAAAAGTTCACGTACTGAGAAGAAGCGAGTGTGACAGGAGCGTTGAGGGCATGGAAGGGAGGTGGGAGAGAATAAGGTGGGGGGTTCCCCAGAGACCTCAGACTACTCTCGGGGTTTTGAGCTTTACCCTGTGGACATGGAGACATTACCTGGGGATTTGATACAGGCCGCTGAGCAGCTAGGTGTAAATTTGAGGACTTTCATGCTGCCTGCTCTGTGCAGAATGGATTAGGAGCCTTTCCAGGCTGAGGGGAGACCAGCAGAAGGATAGGTCAAGACTCAGAGGTACAGGGGGGTCTGGAACCATCCACAGTAATGGCTACATTTGGGAGAGAAACCAGTGCAGAGACTAGACTGGACAGGTGGATGTGACAACGTCATCTTGTGACCTGGTCACTTCACATTCATAGAGACCTATGATTCTGGGCCTGGAAGGGTTGTAGTGATTATCTAGTTCTGAGGAGTTGCAGGATGCAGCATAAACCAGTGGCATGCTACCCATCTATTTAATACATACATGCATACAGCAGAATAGTTTGGAATCAAATACCAAAGTATAACATATTTAGCTTGGATAGATTAGCACTGGGATTAAAGGCATGTGCCACCACCACCCAGCTAAAATGTGGGACACTGACTGTGTTCTACCCCTCACTGAATAAGGGAAGGGGATGAAGTGTCATGGAGGGATGGACGCCCCCACCGTGCTTCTTGCCAAGGGGATCCTCCTGTGGTAGGGTGGGAGAGTGTGAGGATTACCTACCCTTCACTGTGCAGAAGGTACCAGGCTCATCAGAGTCACTTCCTAACCTAGGGGGATTAGGAATGGTGGCGGACTGAGGGGCCTCCGAGGAAGGATGCTTGGCCCACAGGGAGGGCCGAATCCCAAAGGAAGGACCACATTCCACCGCCTCTTGCCTTTTAGAAACAGCATCGCCGCGTCCGCCGTCTGCGCCTTCAACCTCAGTGCCATCTCCAGGGCTTTCAACGGCCCGTTTCGTTACCAGGAGAACCCCAGGGCTGCCTGGCTCCCTATTGCCAACCCCATCCCCAACTTCCAGGTACGGCTTCTCTTCCTTTGCCTCTCACTGGCCACAAATTGACTCCCAGCTGCTCAGGACAGCCCTGATGCTCTAGGCTTTGGGTCTGTGATGGGTCCCCAAGAGGGTGGTGACTCCTCAGACTGCTGTTAAGGAGATAGAGGAGAGGCAGGGTTAGGGAACCCACTCTTGTGGAATTGACTCCACAAGTCCAGAGAGACAGGGACCTCAACTCTACAAAGCAAGAGAGGCCAGGAGGGCACTACACAGGTAGATTGTGGCCAGACTTGGGGATTTTTATCAGAGATCATTCACAGTATGCGCACTAAGGGAACTAATTAATGCCTATAGGATCTCTGGATCCAGGCAGTGGTTGGGGCCGGCATGGTTGGTACATGCATCCCCTATACTGTGATGAGAAAGCATAAAGGGCTGATGGCAGAATTTTTTGATGTATTTCTTTATTTTTGAGGAAGCTCTCACTGTGTTGCCCTGGCTGGCCTGGAACTCACTTTGTAGCCAAGGCTGACCCTGAACTCACAGAGTCCTCTTGCCGCTGCCTCCTGTATGCTAGGGTTGAAGGTGCTGGCCACCCCGCCAGGCCTAGATGACTGACTTTCATGTCCTTCCAGCTGACTGTGCCACGGGTGACTTGGCCTTGGGAAAGGCTGGGGCTTTTTCAGTTCAGCAATTCTGAGCCAGATCCAGCCCAGTGATGTTCACCAGGTCACCCAACTCCCTTGAACCTCTTATTCCTTTGCTGGAACCAGGGACAGGATTATCCTAGGTCATCCCTTCTGGTTCTGTGCAAGGGTCCTTGTAGTGCGCACTAAAAGATGACTGCCTTCCCGCTTTAAAGTAGAACACGCGAACTTGGAGCCAGTAGGGGTAAAGGAGAAAACACCTTGCTTGGCCCACTGTGGGGGGTGGGCGCCTAAGAAGCAGTTTAAAATTGCAGGATACCATTCACATTCAAATGATTTGTCTGGACAGACCCCTTTGCGCTCCTATCCTCTTCCCCAACCCTGGCAGGTCTCTCCTCCTCCATCTTCCCAGTCTCAATTTCACCTAGTTTTAAAGAAAACGCATCCTTTCCTGAAAGATTCAGGGGCCCAGAAAGAGTGCTGGGGACCAGGAGTGTTGGAGAATTAGTGTCTACCCAAGGTCTTCATGGGTGGGAAGGATGCCATGGCAGTCCCTGCATGTGAGGACTGGGCTCCAGTGACTGGGTGCTTTGTGGCAGTGCGGCACCCTGCCTGAGACTGGACCCAACGAGAACCTCACGGAGCGCAGCCTGCAGGATGCACAGCGGCTCTTCCTGATGAGCGAAGCCGTGCAGCCGGTGACACCAGAGCCCTGTGTCACCCAGGACAGCGTCCGCTTCTCACATCTCGTGGTAGACCTCGTGCAAGCTAAGGACACGCTCTACCATGTACTCTACATAGGCACGGGTGAGCCGGCCCGGGCCCGTCTGCGTGCCAGATGGGGAAGTGGTTGTTGCCGGGTCGGGAATCAGCTGCGAGGTGCCACTGGTTCCAAGGCCACTTTCCTCTGACCCCCAGAGTCAGGCACCATCCTGAAAGCGCTGTCCACCGCCAGCCGCAACCTGCGGGGCTGCTACCTGGAGGAGCTGCACGTGCTGCCCCCTGGGCGCCTCGAACCTCTTCGGAGCCTGCGCATCCTGCACAGTGCGCGTGCGCTCTTCGTGGGATTGAGCGACCGGGTGTTGCGGGTTCCGCTGGAGAGGTGCCTGACCTACGGGAGTCAGGGGTAAGCCAAGGCAAGAGGACAAAAGAAGGGCCCCGGGCGGTCTGTGGTCGTGGTGGTGGTGGTGGTGGCGGTGGCGGTGGCGGTGGTGGCGGCGGCAGCTATCTTGCCAATCACGTGCCTCAGAGGGAGGTGGTACTTAAGTGATGTGGCTTTCCAGTGAGCCACTTGCCCTGGCATCCCTGTGGGTCTCCAGTTGGGTAGTGCCTTTGAAAAGTCACTTAACCTCTCCAAACGTTGGTGGCCTGCTCCTGAAACATCTTGGAAGGATTTTGTTACTGTTAATCAGCCTTGTCGCTGCCCAATAGTTCTGGCCTGCCAGCCATCTCTAGCTCACTTGATTAGCTCTCGGGACCTTTAGTTCATTCAGAAAGAGAGATCTTGGCCTTCGAAACCACAGCACTTCTTGCCCAGATGTGGAGTGGTGGGGAGATGATGCCTCCGTCAGCCCCAAGTCTTCAGCTTTCTTGAAGGCAGACCAGCCAGATGGGGCAGCCATGTGTAAGAACTGTAATGTCCCATTGCTTTCAGCCACATTAGCTTTAAGTAGAGTCACAGATTTGGCAGCAGTGACACTAGTATTTAAGGGAGGAAGCCAAGGCCAAATGGAGCAGTGTCCCAGACTCCCAGCCCCTGAAGCCACCCTGGCTGTGTCCCTTCTCTGTATGATCATCAAAACAGCCACGTGGACTTCATGACCTTTGCAACAGAGTCCTCCTGGCTGCGCCATCTGTCCTTGGGATTTGGGAGACAAATGGGCTCCATGCTGCCAAGGGTTGCTTTCTGGGAGTACCAGGAGCTTGGACAGAGGCCTGCAGATGGGGGGAGGAGGAGGAAGGATGGACGGGTGTAGGAGGCTGCTGGTGAAGGGCGGTCGCCAGAGCTCCTCTCGGCCCCCACATGTGGTTCCATCAGAGTGGCACACATTTGCAAAGCCCTGCTGTACACAGGGCACCTTGCTAAGCTGTCAGTGTGAGGGGAGGCTTGTGTGACCCCATGACTGCAGCCCTCCACACTCTGCCAATCCAGTTAGGGAGAGAAACCCTGGCCTGGATCTACCATGTGGGGAAAGGCAGAAGGATGTCTTGGGAAGGATGCGGATGGTAGAATTGGACACAAGGGAGAACCCACCTCAGCTCCACGCTCCATGAGCTGCATGATCTTAAGCAAACCTGTTAACCATTTTGAGCTTCAGTTCTCTTGCCAGGAAAAAGAGATTTGATGGCACAGTGATGTTTTATTTTGGCAGAATTGTAGAGACTGGGCCTGGTACTCATGAAGGGCCCAGGCTCGCAAGTCATAAAGGATAGACAGTATCTTTATTCCTTTTTATTTTCTGCTTTTAGGAGGTTCCAGCCTCCTGGGCTCTCTGGCCTCGGAATCTATGACACCAAATACACACAGCTCTGTTTGGCCAGAAAGCAGCAGCTACCTGCTGAGAGCATTTCCCTTGTTTCTTGGTCTCTTTAAATACGGTGTTGCTGTTAAACTTTTAAGACACGCCTTATTCTCCAAGAGGTTATAAATCCTTGATGGAAAGCCCAGTAGCCCAGTATTTTTTACTCTTCACTAGGCATCCCTGCCCAGCACAGGGTGACCTTCCTCCCAGGGCTGATGATGCTTCAGTCAACCGATTATTTGGCCTCAGAAGAGGCTGGTGCAGAGGAGTGGGTCTGGAGAGTGGATTGAGGCCAGCTGAGAATGTCACGGGAGGATTTTGACCTGAATCTTGGTGGTGGCACAATGGGGTTAGAGTCTCAGACTACCCAGAGAGTTCCTCTAGAGGACAGGTCAGACTGTGGCGAGTAACCTTGTCGTGAGTCAGATGGATATCTGTGATGGGTTAGTGTGGCTCCAGCCCACTGCAAAGCCATGGTCTGCAGTGGGATGAGAGGATGGTGAGGGACAGGGACAATCCCCCACTCGCCGGATCTCCCAGAGGAAGCCAGGAGCTTGTATAGTGTCCCCAATAGGCTACCGTCCTGCAACAAAGTGCCAGAAGGTCAGCTCGGATTCTTGTTTCCTGAGTTTGGTTTACAAGCTGCTGAAGTGTACGGTGAAAGTCCTATCATAAAGCTAGAGGTGGAGGGCCCTCCACACATGTGCCATGACAAGAGCATGCCTGCCCCCTACATACATACATACATACATACATACATACATACATAAATAAATAAATGTAATTTTTAAAAAAAGGTAGATCTAAAACCTGGAAACTGCAAAATTCTATTATTGCAAAGCTAATAAAACGAGAAAAACAAGCACGTGCAGCCAACAAGCTGTGTTCTACATGTCAGGGAGCCAAGTACCAATCACAGCACATCAGAATTAGTGCTATCAAGGAGGCGTGGGGGGGGGGGCTTCATTATGTTCCAGGCATTTCATGTCTGCCCCTGTTCCTTCCAAAGCTGTCGGGAAGATCAAAGTGGGTAAGCAGAGACACTCCCCAGCCTCCTCCTCCACCCAGAATCCAGGAGCTTGCCTCTACCTCCTTTAATCAAAGCAATCTCTGTTCCACATAACCAATACTCTGGCTTGGCCAGAGAGGAGCTAAGATGCTCATCCATGAGTCAGTCTTTTCCTCCTTCCTGTAGACCTTTCACCTCAACCCCGGCTTACTCACAGATATCCTCTGTCTGCCCCGTAGGTTCAGGGTTAGGCCCAGGCTCAATGGTATTTCTTCCCAACCAGGTCCTTGTTCTGGGCAGTCTTGAGTATTTGTTGCTTCCTCCAAAGCTCCATGACGCTGTTTCTACCCTGGACAGCTCCCCCCATCCACTATTGCTGCAGGGAGCTAGGATGCTCGGGCTTACAATGCCCACCATCCATCTCTGTCCTACCTGTGAGCCAGTGGAATAAACCTGTTCCCCTCTGTAACTGCTCCTTGAGACACTGCAGTAAAAAAGACACAGTGATGTATTATTGGCCTGATGGCTCTTTTCATGAACGAACTTTAAATTCCCACCACTTCCTTCAGTGACAGGCATTTCCGCGCTCTTTAGTATGGAGCTTTCATTTTCTAAAGCACATTCCTTGTTCTGTCAGCTTTGAAGTGCCCTTTAGCCCAAAGACAGAGAGTGTGGACTCACCTGAGCTGCAGGAGTAGCCATCCCTCTAGTTATTAGCAGCAACAGCAGGAGGAGGAGGAGGAGGAGGAGGAGGCACTGGCCCTGGAAGGAAGTCTCAAAGGCCTCTCAGACCAACGGGGTGGGCTCTCTCTACAGCATCTACTGTCTTCTTTTTTCTCAAGACCTTAAGTGGAAAGAGAGTGAGTGAGTGAGTGGACTTGGGGTGAGAAAAGTGTGTCATTTCCACTTTGTCTTTCTCCCCTGTCCCCCCTATTCTGTCAGGACCTGGGGGGAAACAAGATCCCACTTGACTTGGGACCTTGACAAACATGGTCCTGGAACAAAAGTTTTCCACCCTAACTCTTCACTGGAGATTCTAACACCGTAACAATTCACTGACGTTTAAAGATTCTAACCCTGGACTTCTAGTTCCAGAGGCCCAGATGCAAGGAGGCGTTTTGTTCTGTTTGGTTAATTAGGATCTGCACTCAAGACTAGAAATGACTGCTTTAGACCCAGCAAGGCTCTGGGGGAAGAAGTAACGTGAGACACAGTGGGTTCCATAAGAATCTTTTGTTTTAGCCTTAAAAACGCTGGTTCAACATTTCCATCCTTAACCAATCTCTCTGCTAGCAGACACTTGTTTTGTTGGGTAAGAATCTTACTTTGGGGTTTTCAGGATGGTCTTGTCAACAAAGCACTTGCCTTGCAAACATGGGCACCCAAGTTTAACCCCCAACACCCACATGAAAATCCCTGGTGTGGTGGCTCCCACTTGTAATCTCCTCACTGAGGTGGAGAAGGGCGGATCCCAGGGCTTGGAGGCCAGCAATCCAGCTTAATTAGTGAGCTCTGCATCCCAGTGAGAGACCCTATCATAAAGGAAGTGGGTGTGTGGCACCCAAGGTTGTCCTCCAGCCCCCACATGCAAGGGCTCACATGTGGCTGCACATCTGTGTGAACATACACACTGCACACAGAGTCTTAGCTGTTATCTATAACAAGTCATGGGCTCTGTTGAGTTCCGACTGGCTGGATTTGCTTCTTGTGGTCCAACTCTCAGTCGGTGAGCAGGGTCTCAAAGCCATAGGCACCAATATTCTTTGTGCACTTGGATTGTTTTGAGCCCCACAACATCCAGTTTGATAAAGTTCTGCCAGTAAAAAACTCTCAAATCAAACTGTTGGTCTCAGAGGCAAAATATGAGCATGCTTATGCTATAAAATGTATTATGTTGTCTTTGGGTGAGTAAGGAGGAAACATTCACAAGCCACAGACAAGGGAGTGATCTGGATTCCCAGGTAGGCCACGGTGTGCTCAGTGGGATCCAATCAGGGCCTCTTCCAAAGATGCCCAAAGTACCGCCTGGATTACACAAAATCATGGGCCAGCCTGGAACACGGGCTAACACTACTAAAAAGCCACAGGTGGGGGCCCTCTGCACACGAGCCATGGCAAGAGCATGCCTGCCCCCTACATAACATAAACAAATAACAACAGGTAGATCTAAAACCTGGAAACTGCAGAATCCTATTATTGCAAAGCTAATAAAACGAGACAAGCAAGCACATGCAGCCAACAAGCTGTGCTTTACATGTCAGGGAGCCAAGTACCAATCACAGCGTATCAGAATTAGTGCTATCAGAGTGGGGAAGGCGTCTTCAATTATTCCTTCTGTATTTGCATCTCTCTCTCTCTCTCTCTCTCTCTCTCTCTCTCTCTCTCTCTCTCTCCAAGGCCTCCTTTTCCCTCCAGTGCATGACATGACCTATTGAATTTGCTAAATGTGCAGAACTTACAGGCGCCTGCCATGGTGACCTATGGTTCTAACCCGAACACTTGAGAGGATGAGAAAGGATCGCTGGGAGTTTGAAGCCAGCCTGGGCTACCTAGTAAGATCCAGGCCAGTCTGGACAATAGAGTGAGACCTTATCTATTAATTAACTAATTTATTAGTGAATCAATTAAACCATGGCTGACAAATGATTGTCCCTGAAGCTTCAAGAGAAAAGAAGAATCCCATCTCGAGGACAGCAAAAGCTGCAAGCTCTTGGCTCTTGTGCGTATCCTGTTGGCTCTCAGCATCTTTGGCCACTGGGAAGGATCCTTTTGTGAGCTTGTGTGATGCTGCAAACTCACCTGCCCATCTTCTTACTGCCTTTGTTCCTTCTCTTGGCCTCTCTCGTTTCCTCACCTTCATTTCTGGGGGCCCCTGCCTTTGTGGTCTCTCAACTTTCCCCAGCAGATCTCATCAGAGCAGGGTAAAAGTGTGCCCTGGGGTGGCAGTGAGTTCACCGTGGGCCTGGAGGGCCCCCCTCCCTCTGCCTCCAGGATCTGGTACTCTTCAGTTAGCAGCACATCTTGACTCCGTCATCCCCACAGACTCTCTTCTCCCTCCTTGAAGTCCTCCTAGCAGAGATTTAACTTTCTTATTTAAAAAATGTAAGGGCCGTGTTACCTGAATAAACCACAAGAAAAGGAAGAAAGGAGCCCTGGAGTATAAGTGGAGGATTCTGGGGCGTGCATGCACTGGGGTGTGAACCACTGTCTTTTCTGGGACATTGCAGAAAGGCCAGCCCCGTGGCCAGGGAAGGGTGGGGTAGCATCCCGCCCCAGCAGCTCAGCTCATTCTCCCAATGCTAAAGTGCTAGCCACTGCTCTCTGGCCCCAAACAGCTCAAGCCTGGGGAAACACACAGGACCCTAGACTGTACCCGGCATCCTGAGTTCTGAGAAATGGGTCCACACACCAGTCAGGGTGTGAAGTGCACGCAATAGAACTTCCAACTGGATGGAGGATGGAAAGTAGGGGGGGGGGTGACAGTTGGGGGGCCTAGGTCTGGGTCCAGTCCCGCAAGATACAATTTGTGTGATCGCTGGGAAACCTCCTCTCCCCTCTCCTTGGCTCCACGCAAAGATGGTTAGCCATCCTGGTGATTCACAACAGGACTTCCTTTAGCCTTGTCCTGGACTTCTAAAAACCACAGAGACTCCCGCAGAGACTCGTGTTGGGGAGCACTTGGGTACCACTGTTTCTTCAAGCTCCTCGGGGGATTTTCATAGGAGCCAGGCTTAAGAATAACTATGCTCTGAGGGCATGACAGGGAAGAGCTATCTCTTGGCATTTCTGCAAACTGCATCTCCTCCAGTGGTCCCAGGTGAGGAGCAATAGGTCCCTTCAGCTCAGGGGAAAACAGTAGTCTCCTGGCTAAGTCTGAGTCCTTGCCGAGCCCTCTGAGTTTCCTCCTACCTGATGGAACAGTAACAGCCTACCTCACTGGGTTATTGCACCGAACTCATTCATGCCTCTGCACGTGCTTCAAATGGGTCCAGGCACACAGCAAGGGCCCAGTGAACTTAGCTGTTTTCTTTTCCATCTTTCTGGTGCTGGGGATGGAACCCAGGGCCTCGTACTTGCTGAGCAAGCGCTCCACCGCTGAGCTAAATCCCTAACTTTGAACTTAACCTTTTTCATAGAGGAAAACCAGGATAGAAAGGGGTGCCCAAAGTGGGCTTGCCAGGCGCTTTCTAGAGACAAAGCTGAGACTGGGAAGCCAGTAAGCTTGAGTCTCAGGACCTCCATCTGGCAGGGCATGCCTGGCAGCGCGGGACCCATACTGCGGCTGGGACGGGAAACGGCAACATTGCAGCACACTGGAGGACAGTTCCAACATGAGCCTCTGGATCCAGAACATCACAGCGTGTCCTGTGAGAACCCTAGTGTGCCCTCCCCTGACCCTTCCCCTCCATGCCAGCCACGACTCCCCACCAGTATATGCCCACCCCTGCCTTTGCCTTGTGTGACAGAAGTCTTGCCCCTTATATGAGTCTGCAGGTGCGGAACGTGACACGGGACGGGGGCTTTGGCCCGTGGTCACCATGGAAACCGTGTGAGCACTTAGATGGAGACAACTCGGGTTCTTGCCTGTGCCGGGCCAGATCCTGTGACTCCCCAAGGCCCCGCTGTGGGGGCCTGGAATGCCTGGGGCCAGCCATCCATATCGCCAATTGCTCCAGGTATGTGAGGGAGGACAGGGTTTGTATAGTGTCTGCTTAGGACTCGTGGAGGGAACTGGGGACATGGGGCATCTCACCCAGGTGTTTACACTTCAGTGCAGTACTGGGGACTGGACAGGAAGCTGTTGATTGTCTGAGGCAGGAAATATAAGCACTAGGAGAGTTTTCACGTCAATGGCAGGAATTCAGAAAGACAGACTGGACAGGCATGCCGAAAGCTAGCTGCATTAAGCTTTGCTGTTCCAAACTTGAGGTACAGCATGAGAGGGTGACGATCCCACGCTGCGCCGTCTAGAGGCATGACCTCGGACAGACCTCTAGCTACTCTTTTTAAAATAAGGAATGCGATACCCACCTGAGAGTTGCTGAGAAGGTTAAAAGAGATAATGTATGTTAGGAACTATACTGCCTGGTACTTGGGAACTGCATAAAATGGTTATTATTGCAACTAACCCATAATTTTAGAGACTCTTAAAATAATTATTTTATCTACATTCATTAATTTAACCCTCACAGCAACCTCGAGGGGTCAGAATTCAGCCATTAGTCTTATTTTAAGGATAAAGGTACCCGTACACAGGGGAGTCCAACTTCGGTCACTGAGGTCAACTTGGGCGTGGATGTCTGCAGCAGGGGGAGAAAGCTAATGCAGGGGAGAAGCGGGAGAATGAGGTCTAAGAGGAGGCTTGGGTATCTGAGAAGGGGGAAAGGCAGGATGGAATGGTAACTGAGACCTCTAAAGAGTGTGTCCTTTTGCCTGTCTGTGTAGGGGCCCGGCCCTATCACTGTGTCCTTGGCCCTGAGCACAGCCCTGATAAATGGAAGAAGGCTCTCAATGCATATTTGAGGCATGAATGAGCAAACGGATGAATGCACGAATCTGCCTGAGCCAGCCTGGTTAGGAGCTGATATTTTCTGTCACTGTCTCGCCAGTCCTGACAACAGTACAAAATCCATCTGCCCCAGATGCAGCCCAGATCTATGAAGCTAGGGCTCAGAGGGCCATGTGTCTCTGTCCCCTCCCACTCCACCAGGAATGGGGCGTGGACCACATGGTCATCGTGGGCACAGTGCAGCACGTCCTGTGGGATCGGCTTCCAGGTCCGTCAGCGAACTTGCAGCAACCCCGCGCCCCGCCACGGGGGCCGCATCTGCGTGGGCAAGAGCCGGGAGGAGCGGTGAGCTAGCTGTGGCTGCAGGGAGGCGGGGATCTGGGTATCCTCCAGCCCGGGGATGACATTGCCTCTCCCTAGGGTTTCACGCCTCCCTTCTCCCCAGGTTCTGTAATGAAAATACACCTTGCCCGGTGCCCATCTTCTGGGCTTCCTGGGGCTCCTGGAGCAAGTGCAGTAGCAACTGTGGAGGCGGCGTGCAGTCGCGCCGTCGGGCCTGCGAGAATGGCAACTCCTGCCCGGGCTGCGGCGTGGTGAGGGCACCGGGGAGCAGGGCCCGGGCGCGGGGTGCGGGGAAGCCTGCAGGCTCTGAAACCACTCACCTCCCCGCCAAGGAGTTCAAGACGTGCAACCCCGAGGCCTGCCCAGAAGTGCGGCGCAACACACCCTGGACGCCCTGGCTGCCGGTGAACGTGACCCAGGGTGGCACACGACAGGAGCAGCGCTTCCGCTTCACGTGTCGCGCGCCGCTGCCGGACCCGCACGGCCTGCAGTTCGGCAAGAGGAGGACGGAGACCAGGACCTGCCCCGCCGACGGCAGCGGAGCCTGCGACACCGACGGTACGGCCTGTGGAGAGGGAGGCCGGAAGCGGGGGGCGGGGGCCAGGAAGTGAGGAGGGGCGGGGGGGGGGGGGGACGCCGGGGTAGCTTGGGGCGGTGCTAGGCGAGCCGCCCAGCCCCGAGATCGCTGAGCCCCGCCGGCCTTCTGCAGCCCTGGTGGAGGATCTGCTGCGCAGCGGGAGCACGTCCCCGCACTCTCTGAGCGGTGGCTGGGCCGCCTGGGGCCCCTGGTCATCCTGCTCCCGGGACTGCGAGCTGGGCTTCCGCGTCCGCAAGAGAACGTGTACCAACCCGGAGCCCCGCAACGGGGGACTGCCCTGCGTGGGAGACGCTGCAGAGTACCAAGACTGCAACCCGCAGGCTTGCCCAGGTAAGGGGGTGGAAGAAAACTTTAGCCTCGGGCAACGCCGTCTCCCCAGGAACTCTCAAGCCTGAGGAGGTGATCTCTGCCAAGCCTGCAAGGGGTCCCAGATTTTATTTATGTATTGGTTTGCTTATTGTCCTAATAGGCCTGGCTAGCCTGCTTCAACTCACTGAGAGCTGAGTTCTGCCCTCTCCATGGACTCGGTGGCTACTGAGTGGAGCAGGAGCGAGGGCTTGCTTTCTTCCTTATTGCTGCGCTTTTTCTTTCCTCTACCCAGCTAGCCAAACAGGGAACTTGATTTGAGATGAAGCTCATACCGAGTTTGGGGAGACATCCTTTAATACTTTGATCTGTTGATTTTGCGTGGTGTGAATGTTGAGGGAATGAGGCCCAGGTCAGCCTCTCTCTCTCTTTCTCTCTCACACACACACATACACACACCCAATCCACGCTTTGCAGTGCGGGGTGCCTGGTCCTGTTGGACCGCATGGTCCCAGTGCTCAACATCCTGCGGTGGCGGCCACTACCAACGCACCCGCTCCTGCACCAACCCCGCACCGTCCCCGGGTGAGGACGTCTGCCTCGGGCTGCACACGGAGGAGGCGCTGTGTGCCACGCAGGCCTGCCCAGGTACTGGGTGCCTCTGACTGGGGGGTGGGGAGTGTTTGGGAGCTGCTAACCCCCTCGACAGGGAGATCCTGAGACCTTCAACCTCATCCCCACCCACAATCCACAGAAGGCTGGTCACTGTGGTCTGAGTGGGGTGTCTGCACGGAGGATGGGGCCCAGAGCAGGAGCCGGAGCTGTGAGGAGCTTGTCCCAGGGCCGGGTGCCTGTCCTGGCAACAGCAGCCAGAGCCGGCCCTGTCCCTACAGTGAGATTCCTGGTAGGTTCTTTGGCTAGTACTTTTCCACCATCTCCCCCTCAGTCCCCTCACACACACTCCCATTCCCCCTATGCCCTTCCCCTTCTGAAACCTGAACCCTGTAGTGGAGATTGGAGTATGGGATGAAGCATCGGAAATGATACATTTGTCTCATGCTTGAGGCTCTCATACTACGTGTTGAACGGCCCACCCTATAGAGAGAGGAGGGGGTGTACGGAGTAGCCGGGGGTGGGGGGTGGGGGGGGGAGTGAAGGCCATTGACCTAAAGGTTCTCCTAGATGGCACCCAGCCCATGCCAGAGTCCTCCTTATTCACTCTGTTCCAACCATATCCGTTTATCTCTCCCTGCAGTCATCCTGCCTGCCTCCAGTGTGGAGGAGACCAGCAGTTGTGGAGGTAAAGAGTCACTCCTGTCACTGCCTTCCATCCATGTCACTCATGGCACAGCCCCTCATCCACCATTTGAGTCTGCATCCTTCCCAATTCTGCTGCAGACAGCCAAGCCTGGTGGTGTAGGGGGGGGAGCGGGTCCCTACCTGTCTTCAAGGTTGTGTATGAGGAGGTCCGCACCGTCCCCTCCGAGGCCTCCCGGCTGCATCAGGAGGCCATCATCAGCCTGCATCCAAATCCTTAGGCTGTCACTTCTGACTCCACCTACAGGCTGTCCTGGGAGAGGGGGGGTCTCGGTGACAGCCTCCCCCACCTCTCTCTTTGGTTCTGGCCCCAAAGCCCTTAGCTTTCTCAACATCCTGGGACCTCTTGACGATGTGTCTGCTCCCCGGGAAGACAATCAGAAGGCCTTCTCCTTCCCAGCAGCCCTTCCCTTTCCCGCCCGTCTCTCTTCCTCCAGGGTTCAGTCTCATCCAGCTGGTAGCCACGGGTGTGTCCTGCTTCCTGGGCTCCGGGCTCTTGACCCTCGCGGTGTATCTGTCTTGCCAGCACTGCCGGCGCCAATCTCAGGAATCCACGCTGGTCCATCCTGCCACCCCTAACCACCTGCACTACAAGGGTGGAGGCACCCCCAAGAATGAGAAGTACACCCCCATGGAATTCAAGGTGGGAACCTCTGTGTGGCGCCAAGAGCAGGGTGAATGGGACTGTGGTCCTGGCTCTGTGCTGGGCATCGCTGGGGGGTGGGGGGTGGGGAAGCAGTGGTCACGTGAAGGCGCACTGTGTCGATAGGTAGACTTTCCCCTAATGGCTGGCTTCCAGGACTCCTTGCCCTCGGCTGGCCCTTTCTTTATGTCTTCTCTCCTTTCTCTGATTCCTTCTCCTCCCGGCAGACACTGAACAAGAATAACTTGATCCCCGACGACAGAGCCAACTTCTACCCATTACAGCAGACCAACGTGTACACAACCACCTACTACCCCAGCCCACTGAACAAGCCCAGCTTCCGGCCAGAGGCCTCACCTGGACAGCGCTGTTTCCCCAACAGCTGATCCCACCCTCCTGGACTTGGGCTCCATGCCTTCCCAAGGCACAGAACAGTGGAATGGGACAGTAGAACCATTTTTGGTTTGCCCTCTGCCCCGGGGCTGAGAACTTGCTTGCCTGGCCTGGGAAGGGGTCCCATCTGGCTTCAGAAAGCTCTGCCTGTCGTTGACCATGGGAGAGAGGGCTGGCTTCAGGCTGGCACATGGCTGCAGATCCAGTTCAGCCCAGGTTTCATGGTCTCCTGGGACCCATCATCACTTTCCCCTGCCATGTCTGAGCTGTGGACCTACTGGGCATGTGTGGAAATCGGAGAGTAGAGATGGCGGGAGAGAGGCCTCTTTGGTTTGGGTTGGAAATGACCTCCAGTGGCCGCCACCAAGTCTGCCCCTTCTGAGTGGCCCTCCAAAATGCCTGAGCTGCATCCAGCTTGTCAATGAAAGGAATTCATCAAATGTCCCAGCAGCTTCAGCTCTCAGCCCAGGGCTGGACCACTCTGATGCTGCTCCCTGAGTGTCACAGGGGACCAGTGCTGGCCTAGGTTGACCACCTCTGTCAGACAGTCTGTATCTTGACCAGGGGCATCCTTCTGGTTAGGGGCAGTGAGGTCTGAGACCTGGAGGCTGGGCTGTGCCGAGAGGCCCTTTGATCTGACTCGGTACAGGCCTTAGCCTTGCCTTCAGAACACACGCAAGGTGACCCGGAAGGAAGAAAGACTCAAGACCACGGGAGGCAGAGTCTGGCCTCCATGCCTATGGAGACTGTTGCTGCTCAAGAGTCATCGGCCGAGAACTGCTTGGGAGTCTGCTGGCCCCTCGTGTATTCAGGAACACACACACACACACACACACACACACACACACACACACACACACACACACACGCCATCTGCCACGGCAACGAAAAGGATGTTAAGCTGTGGCATTATTAATTAAAGATGATATCCAGTCTCCAAATGGAACTGTCTTTGTGCATATGTGTGTGGGCCCTCTTGGCATGGAGTAGTCCATCAAGGCAATGCTCGAGCTAACAGATGGTTTCTCAAGATGGAGGAAATGACCGGAGTGGAGTTTGAGTTTAATAGAGACCATCTTTCTGTGTGGGGGTGTATGTGCACACACATATTCTTCTCTCAGAAAAGAAGCTGGGTGTAAACAGAATTCACCAGGGAGGTCACTAGGTACAGCCAAGTCAACAGCACAGAGTGGTGTGGGCCTGCCCTGAGCAGCTCCTGCATGGAGATGAGGAATTCAGCAGGAGGGCATTGATGAGGATGATTCATGAGACATGCCCGCAGCTGAGTTTAACAAAACCAAATTGAGAAATGATGCCTGTGAGGGGGGGGGGGAGCCTAATGGAGTTTGTGCTGGATTAAATAAAAATCACCTCAAAGCTCCAGTCCTCCAAATCAATGTGGCCATTGTGGGTACGATTGATGGACATGTTAAATTTAGAGAACAATTTCCTGGCTTAATTGGATAGATCAATTCTCATAAGATTCTCAGTAAAAAGGAAGGTAGATGGGCTAGGGAGGCTGCACTCTCTGTGGGAGAGGGGTGAAGGGTCTTGGGGAGCAGAGGAAGAAATACTTGAAGCTTGAAGGTGTCTGGAAGAAAGGAGAGGTGGAGCCTTCCTGGAATTTTGGTGCTCACGTGGGACAGCTCAAATGCCAATGTCCCTGGGCCAAGGGGAACAGAGTACGGGCTTCTGGATCCCTGCATGGTTCATGTCAGGCCCCTGAGCCCAGAGCTTGTGGAGGCCTGAGGGGCGTTTTAGATCCTGGAGTTTCAATTGCCTTGAACTGGGTAGTGCTAATTAATAGAAACTGTAAGTGTTCCAGGGCCAGTGTCTCTGCCTCACCAGTGCCACTCACATGCGACCAAGTGAGGGACAGCTCTGTGGGTGCTGGTCAAGGAGAATCGCCAACCAAAGTGTACCTCTGTTGACTGGAACGATGTCCCCGGGACGGTACACCCTTGGGTACCTTAACACACACACACCTGAATTCTCTTATCAGAGCACGGTTTTGGAGGTTAATCTCAGGATGCGTGGGGGTGGGGGTGGGGCACCACACAGCATGCATGCAGAGAAGCTGGCATGGTCAGCAGAGGTTATTTAACAAATACCCCCAGCTCAGAGCAAAGGACCCTGAAAGTCACCCTCTTCACCTGCCCTGACAAGGAGGTGTTCTCTGGCAGACTGAAGGGGGCTGAAGTGTCAAGGGGAAGCGGGCTTTCTCCACCCCGTTGGCTCAGTGAGAGTGAGGGAGAGGCCGGAGCCAATGCTTCGGGCCTTCTAGGGCCCTTTCATGTTCACCCTGTGTGTAAGTCGACTGTCTTAAAGCCGTGCATATTCACTGCAGCAAATTTAGAGGCTATGGGAAACCAAAAAAAATTAAAAAAAAAAATTTATAATGATTATAGTAAAAACCAAGACAGAGATCTAAGGATTTTAACTTGTTATGCGAATACAGTTCTTCCCCTTTCTCTCAGAATCAGCCTCCCAAAGCAAAGGGAATAAGAAACAAAAGCTCTGACACCATTTTCAATAAAACTAGGATGTAGTTCTAATCCCAACTCATAATAAGTCGTCCGTCTGTGTTCCTGGGGAACTGGTTCCAAGGCACTGCCCCCTGCGGATGCCCAAACCTGTGGACGCTCACAGTCCCTTATGCAAAATGGAATGGCATTTGCGTGTAGGCGGGGCACACCCTCTTGAACCTTCTCTGGATGATTTCTGATACCTAATGCGATGGGAATGCATTATGAATCACTGCTCCGTATTGCTGAGGGAATAACGATGAGAAGAAAAGTTGGGGTGTGTGCAGTTCAGATGCAAATTCTTCCCCCCAAACACTTTCCGCCTGCGCTCGGTTGGACGTGGATATGGGCACTACGGGAGGGAGGTCTGTCTGTCTACAGTGACAGAGAGCAGGGGAGTAACCCCGGTTACCTGGGGGAGCGGGGAGTGGGGGCAACATCCCAAGGATTTCAGAAAAGGATCAGAAATGGGGGGGAGGGTGAGAAAGAAACTAAAAAGAGGGGGTTGTATGAAAATCAATGTGTACGCTTCAGCTAGATCCTTGAGTGTTTATTTATGTTGCATGGTTAAAAACTTTTTTTTTTTTTTAAATAAAAGACAGGTACAGAAAAGTCAGGCGAAGCAACGATATAGCTTAGTAACTCAGGGCAAGCTCTTTGCAACAAGGACTCAGGTAGAGAAAGAGAATGACAATGTCTCAGGACCCCTTTTCTTTCCTCCTCCTCCCACACAACGGGACAGTCATCAGCACCAGGAAAAAGGTAAGAGCACAGGAAAAGAAATCCAGCTGCTGCCCACCACGCGGCTGGACCACGATTTCTATAATGGCGGCAACGGAGATAAGGTATGGTCCCACTCATGACTTTTTATTCCCCCCCACACACACACACACACCATTACCATGGTATGTGTTCATTAAAGAAAATTTGAGGCCGGAAATACCCACCTGCACCTAGCCACCGTGTGCTGCATTTAAAATGGGTCTTCGCTCTAACTGTGCTGAGCCGTTTGGCCCTTGTCCTTCCAAAACCAGGAGCTAAAGGAGCCTTTGTTTCTAAGTTAAAAGGAAGGAAGATAATCTGGGCAGGGGATCGGATGTGCCTCGTATCCACATGGCCCTGGGTTTGACTCCCCAGAACAGAAAAAAAACAGTAATGAATTGGGGCTGGGGATGTAGCTCAGTTGGCAGAGTGCTTGCCTAGCATGCAGTCCGGGGTTCAATGCCAACACAGAGTAAACTGGGTCTGGTGGTGCATGCCTATAATAATCCCAACCTGTGGAAGGTGGAGACAGAAGGATCCTGACTATATAGTAAATTTGAAGCCAGCCTGAGATGAAAAGGAGCTTGTCTCAAAAAAGAAAAGTAATTTTGGAATAAAAAAAACCTAATAAAATATTCATATCCTAAATAGACAATCATCAATATCTTAATATGTCTTTTCCAGATGTTTTTCTGTGGTTTCTGTGTGAATTTGGTGGCATTTTATAAAAGTGAGGCCTACTAAGTGTGTTTTATTTTTATTTTTTAACATATAACATTATGTCATAATTTTCTTATACTGTTAGAAATTCTTCTGCAAGCCTCAGGGTCCCTTGCAGGCCCTGTCCTGGCAGTGGGTAGGGAGAGGAGAGAGGGCCTTGTTTACAGAGTCCCACGAGTGACAAAGTTCCCCCATGCTACTACTTCAATTAGAGAAAATGCAATTTTTACACATTTCATTATACCACAGCATACTTTGAAGTGTTTGCATAACAGCTGAAAAACTTGAAACAGTCTGTCACTTGAATTTCATTTTTATCACCTAAATTTGCTCTCCCCTACTATATAAATATAATCATTCTACCACATAAATGTATCATCATTCGCATTAGCCACTCTGATTTGTTTCACATCTTCCTTTCCCAATGATTACTATTCTAGGCCTCCTTGTGTGTCTTTCTTACATGCCCTTAGGATACATTCCCAGAAGAGGAGGCAAGTAGTTAATGAGCATACCATGCGGCTTTCTGATTTAGCCTTGGTAAAGTGGGAATACATTGCTGGCCAGAGTGTCACTGGTGGTCATCCTTTGAAGAAGATGTTGGTCACAGAAGTAGCTGTGCTGCTCAGGGCTGGAACCCTTAACAACTGGGCACATTGAGCCCATTGTCCTCACACTGGAACCTGGGAAAATGTTGTCATCTCCTTTTTAAAAAAAATGTTTATTTTATGTGTATGGCTGTTTTCCGTGCATGTATATCTGCACACCACATGTGTGCCTCTGGCGTCTGTGGAGGTCTGTAGAGGGCACCATACCCCTTTGAACAAGGGTTACAGAGGGTTCTGAACCACCACTTGGGTCCTGGGAACAGAACCTTGGTCTTCTGCAAGAGGAACAAGAGCTCTTAACTGCTGAGCCATCTCCCCAAAATATGTTGTGAGATATTTGATTGTACTGTGTAAAGATATGTCACTGTGACTGGTTTAATAAGAAGCTAAATGGTCACTATCTAGGCAGAAGGTATAACTGGGAGGTTCTGGGCAGAAAGAGCTCTGGGGAGGAAAAAGGGGAGCTGTCACTGGACACAGAAGGAGCAAGACACATATGAGGAGAGGTAAAAGCCACGAGCCACATGGCGGCACGTAGATGAATAGAAATTGGTTGATTTAAATTATAAGATTTAGTTAGAAACAAGCCTAAGCTATAGGCCAAGCTTTCATAATTAATAAGTCTCCATGTAGTATTTTGTGAGCTAGCTGCCCAAAGAAAAAACCTGCTACAAAAATCTCTCGGTCTCTATCTCTCTTTGTGTGTCTCTGTGTCTCTCCCTCTCCCTGTCTCTGTCTGTTTCTCAGTCTCTCTCTTTCTCATACACACATACACATTTAGCTGTTTATTGTGTGTATCGGGAAGGTACATGCCATAATGCACATGTCAGAGCCAGAAGGTAACATTGCAGAGTCAATTCACTCCTTTTGCCTTTATGGGTGTTTTGGGGGAATTGAACTCAGATCTCCAGGATTTCACCTACTGAGCCATCTCACTGGTCTTGAAAATGCCTTCTTGAGCCAACTAAATATCTATTGTCTCTCCTCCAAACTGCAGTGCTCTGAAAGGGGAGCTGCAGGTGAAAAGAGAAACCAGGTTACCAGTACCAGCCGGTGGGTACTGCTGTGCTCTCAGTCTTGGCCATCAACACAACTGTATCCAGGAGTGCCTAGAAGTCTAGAGAAGCCTCGGGCTGTGTCTGTGATGGCATACTCAGAGACAATTAGATCATGGGGGCAATGACACAATCAATGGATTAATCATTTGATGGATTCACAACACAATGGCTGTGGCGGTGTGAATAGGTATGGCCCTCATAGACTTATGTGTTTGAATGCTAGACTACAGGGAGTGGCACTATCAGGAGGTGGGGCCTTGTTGGAGGAAA